TTACAGAGAAATTGCAAACAGATAAACACATGGGCAGGATTATTGTAATAACCTGTAGTTTCATAAGAGTATATATTTAAAGTAGATGAATAAATGAACAAATTAATTTGGATATGCAGAAGATATTAAAATTAATTAAAGGAACCACAGAAAGGGGGGGGGAGTTAAGTTTTGGAAATGTCAAAATGAGTGTAAAATCAGTGAAATGTATAAATTTGGAAAGTATATTAAAAAAATAACACACACACAAAGGCCAGTGGCTCACCTAGTCGAGCATCCTGTTCTCACAGTGGCCCAGAGATGCCCCTCTGGGAAACCGGCAAGCAGGATTCGAACACAGGAGCAGCTCTCCCCTCCTGCGGTTTCCAGCAGCTGGTACCCAGAAACATCACTGCCTCCAGCTTTTCTTTCCTCCTCTGTTAACGAGAGGCTTTTAGCAATCCATTTCCAAAGCCCAGCCATTAAAGGACTGTGTGTGTGTGTGTGTGTGTGTGTGTGTGTGTTTGTGTAGGCAGGCAGAGAGCCAGCAAGAGGCGAGGGCTTGGCATCTTCAGAAGGATGCTGAGCTTGGTGGGGGTGGAGCAAAGCAGCCGAGGAGGGCGAGGCGGAAATATTGATCGCTGCCTTGCCTGGGCACTGTCAGCATAAAGGCAAGAGGGAGAGAAATTGCGCCTTCCACTGCAGCGAAAGGAGCCCAGGATAAAATGGCGCAGCAGCCTTTGGAAGCCGGAGCTGCAGACTCGAGGCCCACAAGCTGCCTTTAAGGGTAGGTCAACTGAGCTGATTTTGGGATAATTTCTCCCACTGCATAGTCTGTCCCATTGTGCTGCCATTTGGGTAGTGGGTGGGGCGGGTGTTGAGACCCGAAGCCGCAAACCTCTTCCCTCCCCGCTGTGTTTTCCTCTTGTGCTGCTTCTCTTAGATAGCAAGCCTGTGGGCAGGGAGCCTTTGTGGCTGCAGGTGAACTGTGCTGGGAGCCCTTTTGGCACAAGTGTGAGGTGTAGATGCTCAAAAGCAGGGCGGGGAGGAGGAGCCTCAGGTTCGGGGGCTAAATGTATCCGCTCTCCTCAGTCGACCTTCCAGGAGTGCTTTTTGCCTGGCTGCAAAAGTTTCCTTGAACTCTGTTTGCATGTAATAGCTAGCCTAATGTGCAGTGGTGAAATTTGCATCTGTTGCTTCCATCCACTTTTGCAAATGGACACATGACCCTGGAAGAGAATTGCATGCTCAGCTTTTGCTGTAATCTGTGCCAAGAAAGTATCAGTCATCCTCTGTGGGAGGGACTTCATAACTTAGGGGCTGCCACCGAGAAGGCCCTGTTCTGAACCAACCTCTAAGAGCAGCAGAAGAACCAAGAAGACCCTATTTGCCAATCTTAAACCCCCTCCCCAATCCACCAAGGGGGAAGAATGCAGCCTTTTGGCTATATGGGGCATGAGTCATTTAGGGTTTTTTAACTTTAACATTTAAAACATTTTGATACAACAAAATTTCACTAAAGTCAAATTAGGACTCCATGTGGTTGTCAGTTATGACTTAAAAACACCAGGAGTGCACAGCTGGATCAGGCTGGTCGCCCCTCAGGTCCAGCATCCTGTTCTCACAGTTGCCCAACCAGATGCTCCAAAACCCACAAGCAGGATTCGAACACAAGACCATCCTCCCTTCCTGCAGTTTCCTGCAACTGGTATTCAGATGCACTGAGGCCTCCAGCTGTGAAGGCATGGCTTGGCCCTCATGGCTGGTAGTCGCCAGGAACCTAATTCTCCTCCACAAATTTGTCTGCTTCTCTTTTAAAGCCTTCCACGTTGGTGGCAATTTCTGCCTCCTGTGGCAGGGAGTTCCACATTTTAACTGTGCTGCATGAAGACAGACTTCCTTTTGCCTCTCCTGAGTCTTCCAACATTCAGCTTCCGTGCGTTCCAGTGAGGGGGAAGCAAACTTGTTTACGCGCTTTCTCCATGCCACGCAAAATTCTAGAAATGTCTACCATATCACCTTTTACTAGCCTTTTCTCTAAGCTAAAAAATTCCCAAATTTACCTGTTTTATTTATTAGATTCATCATAAGATCTTGGGGTGATTCAACAAGGTAAAAATGCTGCTTTTTGGCCAGAACACTTAGGAGTGGTGTGTGTGTGTGTGTGTGTAGCAGCTTTTCTCTGGGTTGTAAAGCAAAACACCCTTTTAAAAATCACTCCTGTGAATTCAAGAACCTTGCAAGTGCCGCAAACTGGTTTGGCAACATCTGTAAAAGAGCACTGACTTTCTGCGTTTGCCGAGAAACCACACTGCGAAGATCTGGAGGTGGATGTCTGTTAAGTTGTGGGTGAACATATCAGACGACACAGCGATTCTTCGAACAGCTCTTGTTTATTCACAGGCCAGAACAGAACTGAACTGAAGGGTTCAGCCAGCCTGCTTATATAGAGCTCCACTAGAAATGCAACAGTAACCATTTTCTGTAATTATCCAATCACTGAACGTCACTTTCAATCCCTTATTTGCATATGTGGACCTGAGTGAAAACTATCTACAGTATCCACCTGCTGGCCCAGGGTGAGAACTTCAGTACATAACAATGTCCTTGACCGCCTGCCCGCGGCTATCCTCTTCCTGAGCTTTGGTTTGAACAGGATCCCTGTTTGCGTGCCTGTTTTTTTAAAAGCGAAGAGCAGGTGCGGTGAGCCGGCCGGAGTTTACAGGTCTTTTGGGCTGTGGGGTGTGGAGGAAATGGCTTGAGGGATCGGCCCGTCTCAAGGTTATCCCTTTTTGCCTTCAGGTTCCTGGGCGCCGTCAGCAATGGGGAGATTGCCGGGAGCGCGCAAACTGGGGTGCGGTCCCACAGCTGGAAACGGAGGAACTCCCGGCGAGGTAATGGCCTTGGGGGACGCGGCATTTGGGCCTGGATAATAATAATAATAATAATAATAATAATAATAATTTATTATTTGTAACCCCCCAATCTGGCTAGGTTTCCCCAGCCACTCTGGGCGGCTTCCACAAAGACCAAAAATACACTAATATGTCACACATTAAAAACTTCCCTGAACAGGGCTGCCTTAAGATGTCTTCTGAATGTCAGGTAGTTGTTTATCTCTTTGACATCTGGTGGGAGGGCGTTCCACAGGGCGGGTGCCACTACTGAGAAGGCCCTCTGCCTGGTTCCCTGTAGCTTTGCTTCTCGCAATGACGGGACCGCCAGAAGGCCCTCGGCGCTGGACCTCAGCGTCCGGGCAGAAGGATGGGGGTGGAGACGCTCCTTCAGGTAAACTGGGCCGAGGCTGTTTAGGGCTTTAAAGGTCAATACCAAAACTTTGAATTTTGCTCGGAAACGTACTGGGAGCCAATGGATTCCTTGTGTTGATTCGTGCGTTGCAGGGGGTGGACTAGATGACACCTGGGACCCCTCCCAACCTTACGATTCTTTGATTCCGTCATTCATTCATTCATTCATTCATTCATGTTAAAGTGTTAGTGCTGACCTTGAAAGCCCTAAACGGCCTCTGTTCTGTATACCCGAAGGACCGTCTCCATCCCCATCGTTCAGCCTGGACACTGAGGTCCAGCTCCAAGGGCCTTCTGGCAGTTCCCTCCCTGCAAAAAGTGAGGTTACAGGGAAGCAGGCGGAGGGCCTTCTCGGTGGTGGCACCCGCCCTGTGGAACGCCCTCCCTTCAGATGTCAAAGAAATAAGCAACCATCTTACTTCTGGAAGACATCTGAAGGCAGCCCTGTTTAGGGAAGTTTCCATCATCATCATTTTTTTTAATTGTATACCGTCTTTCTATCTTACACTACTCAAGGCAGTTTACGAGCCGAAGATCTAGCAATCTAATGCGATACAAAAATGTGATAATAAAACAGAACTTTAAAACAAGCAACCTACATCAAAAAGTAACACTCAGCAATTGTTATAGTATAAAATAATAATATCAACATATAAAAGTTAAACAGAAATCCACTCGACAGTTACAATAAGTAATTTCTAAACTATAATCAATAAAACAACGGCAAGCCACAGTACGTAAAATAATACAATACAAATTGAGAAGCAGAGACTAGAGGGTGGGAAGAGGCCTTGCCTGATGGAGTCTTTTAATGTTTAATGTTGTACAGTGGTACCTCAGGTTACATATACTTCAGGTTACAGACTCCGCTAACCCAGAAATATTACTTCAGGTTAAGAGCTTTGCTTCAGGATGAGAACAGAAATTGTGCTCTGACGGCGCGGCGGCAGCAGGAGGCCCCATTAGCTAACGTGGTGCTTCAGGTTAAGAACAGTTTCAGGTCAAGAACAGACCTCCAGAACGAATTAAGTTCTTAACCCGAGGTTCCACTGTATTGCGTTTTTAATATTCTTTTATGAGCTGCCCAGAGTGGCTGGGGAAACCCAGCCAGATTGGTGGGGTGTAATTAATAATAATAATAATAATAATAGTAATAAATTTATTAATTATTATTAAGCAAAGGTTGGTTGGGTGGCTGTCTGTCAGGCATCCTTTAGCTGTGATTCCTGTTTTGCAGGGGGTTGGACTAGATGACTCTCTGGGTCCCTTTCAACGCTACAATTCTACGATCTGGGGGTTGGGGGAGTACTCTGGACTCTTTACTGTACAAACATGCATGTTTTGTTCCAGCAACTCACAGGTTGTACCCAGCTTAATGAATGAACCCAGAACATAGGATGCTGTGTCATATATGGAGCCTGGATCATTGACCCATCTAGTTCAATATTGCCTGCACTGACTGGCAGCTCTCCAGGATTTCTGCCTTGCCAGGGGATGCTGCCAGTGTGGGTTGAGCTTTGGACCTTCTGCCTGCCAAGCAGGTGTTCTGCCAATGATGTGGGCCCTTGGCTCAATATTCTAGTCCTCGTGGTTCTGTATAGAAGGAAACATAAGAAGCTGCCTTTCACTGAGTCAGACTATTGGCCCACCGGGCTTAGTATTGTCTGCACTGACTGGTAGCAGCTCTCCAAGATTTCGGGCAGCCCTGTCTGGAGTTGCTGTTGGGGATCGAACCTGGGACCTCCTGCAGGTGAGGCAGGTGCTCTACCCACTGAGCCACAGTCCTCCCCTGGTTATGTCACACCAGTTGCCTTCAGTGGGTCTACTCTGTCAAACAGTGAGCATGCACCCCAAGCTCCTAGTCCTCATTGTAGCTTTGCTGTCCCTTCCTTACTGATCGAGCGACGCGATCCTGTGCACAGGCACTGTTCCAAAAACGCTGTTCAGTGCTGCCGGTTCAACCAGAGTTTCCGGGCGGTAGAAATTTCCCCGTTTATTTTGTTTTTATTTTTTCTGGCCTCGAATCTAGCCACCGCCTCTTCCCACCTTGTGTTGCTGTCGTTCCAGGTGGTCAGGCTAACCCCCCAGCCCCAGAAGATGTGATCTATGATGACGTTCCTTATGAAAATGTGGACCTGATCCAGCGTGGTACGGCACCTCCCACAATGCCTCCTTTACCTATCTAGGTTTTGTGTCTTGTTACCTTGAGCACGATCGTTTTCCCTCCTCCCCATTCATTTTAAATCACAACCACCTGCATTGTTTTCCTGAAAGCATCTTCACTGAACTCCAAGCCACGGTTTATCAGACGACGATTCACCAAACCGGGGTTTGTTTGAGATGTAGGGTGGCTTTTTCAAATTACTGTTTTCCTTGTGCAGAAAAAAGTACACAATGAACTTAGTGTGGGCGAAGGAAGATAGTACAACTCTATAGAAAGTGCTCTGTAGATCCTCCATTTTAATTTCACTTCCGGTTAAGCTACAGGAAAGCAACTGCATGGGTTGGGCTAGATGATTTTGGGGGAAATCTACAGTTCTACGATTCTGATTTCCAGCACTGAAGGTCTCTAGCCTGGAAGGTTTTTGCAAAGTGGCCTGCCTTTTCCTGCCTTAATTCATCATACTGGAAACATTATTCCTCATTCTCTGTGTTATTTCCTCCTTCCACTTTCAGGGGCTGCCTTGCTCTGCCTGTCGTCTCTCATCATATTCTATTCACACCCTTTTTCCTTTCCTTCTCTCCCTTGGAAGGTTCCTGTTTCAGAGGACCAGTATCCACCCATCACCATCCTTCCCCAGTCGCGCCTGTTGTTGTGTCTCTGCGGTCCTTTTCGCTAACTCCCTGTCTCGTCCTTCCAGATTCGGACAAGAGCCTCATCTACGAAGATGTCCATCAAGATGGACCACAGGAGACTGAAGATCTAGGCTGGAGCTCCAGCGAGTTCGAGAGCTACAGCGAGGAATCTGGGGAGGAGAGCAAGCCGGGGGCGGAACCAACAAAGCACAAAGTCTCTTTCCAGCCAAAGGTAACAGGACAGGGAAAGAATCTTGCACCTCCCTCGTCAGAGGCAATATGCCCCATAATAGCAGTGGCTGGGAATCACCAGCAGGGAGAGCTCTGGTCCTGCTTGCCGGATCCCCATTGGATGGGCCGTTGGCCTGATCCAGCAACCAGGTGGTTCTAATGCTCGTGTGACCTGCTTGTCCTTGAGGACTAGGAATTTAGGACTCCAGTCTGAGTGAACACCAATATCTGCTCTGATTTGTTCCCCATGAGCGCGGAGCGGGGAGGCTGGCGCTCTTAAGATGTTGCTGGACCACAGCTCCCATCATCCCTGACCCATTGGGGCTGTGGAGCTGTGGGAAGTTGGAGTCCACCTGGAAGGTTGAAGGTTGGAGGTTCCCTGCCTCTGAACTAGACTGTCACTTGCCTTCACCACCCTTGGCTACCTCCACTTAACTTCTCCTAGCTGCCTCCACCACTTGCCTTCACTGACCCTAGCTCCCTCCATTGCTTGCCTTCACTGACCCTAGCTGCCTCCATCACTTGCCTTCACTGACCCTAGCTCCTTCCATCACTCACTTTCATAGCACCTAGTTCATTGCTTACCTTCACTGACCCTAGCTCCTTACATCACTCTCTTTCATGACCCCTACTTCATCACTTGCTTTCACTGACCCTAGCTGCCTCCATCACTTGCCTTCACTGACCCTAGCTCCCTCCATTGCTTGCCTTCACTGACCCTAGCTGCCTCCATCACTTGCCTTCACTGACCCTAGTTCCTTCCATCACTCACTTTCATAGCACCTAGTTCATTGCTTACCTTCACTGACCCTAGCTCCTTACATCACTCTCTTTCATGACCCCTACTTCATCACTTGCTTTCACTGACCCTAGCTGCCTCCATCACTTGCCTTCACTGACCCTAGCTCCTTCCATCACTCGCTTTCATGGCCCCTACTTCATTGCTTGCCTTCATTGACCCTAGCTGCCTCCATCACTTGCCTTCACTGACCTTAGCTGCCTCCATCACTTGCCTTCACTGACCCTAGCTGCCTCCATCACAACCCTGTCTTCTTTTAATATAGGGATGGGGGACCTGTGACCACTCTGAATTCAGCCAGATTAGAAATCCCATTATACCTGACCATTGCCCATGCTGGCCACTGGGGCTGCTGAAAGTGAAAGAGTCCAGCCACATTTGATTTCCTTATTTATTACACAGCAGTTATCACCCACCTTTTTCCTCTTAAGGAGCTCCAGGTGGCATACATAGGACTCTCTCCTCTTTTAATCCCCACATCAACCCTGTGAGGGAGGCTCGGCTGAGAGAAGGCAGCGACTGTCCCCTCAGGTCACACCCAGTGAGCAGCATGGCCCAGTGGAGGGATTCGAACCCCAGTCCTGGTCCAGCACTCTAACCATTATGCCACACCCACTCAAATAAGGGATCAGGGACGGAGGGCCCTTTCTGGATAGTCAAAGGCTGTGTCAGGGCTGCTTCTGGCTGTCGGCTGTCCTAACCCCGCTGCTAATTTGAGGGTGGCTTGCTGGTGGTTTGGGGTCTTTTGCCTTTTATTCTGGGTCTTGGCTTGGAGCATCGTGTGTCTGCTTACCTGGATTTTTCTGTCTCTGCTTCCCCCCTCCTTGCTGCCGTGGCTTCCTCTGTCCTCATGCTGGCTTTTTTGGGGGGGGGCATACCAGCTTTCTCCTGACCTTCATAGGTTGAAGGAGAGGTACTCCCGGACTAAGAGGGACATCCAGGCTTTGAAAGTCGGGGGGAGAGATATGCTGAAGCAAAGATACGACGGCAAGGTACTGTCTTTCCTCTGCACCCCCCCTCGATTCCCCCCCACTTCTCATCTGCGTTTGGGTCGCGAATTACACTCTTCCTTTCCGCCAACCCGTTGCCTCTCTCTCTCTCTCTCTTTCTCTCTCTCTCGGCTTTGCAGAAATTAACCTATTAAATTCTAAGAACACTAAAACTCCGCATCTTTTTCGCCTTGCAGTTTGCTGTCCTACACAGGAAGGGAAGATTTCTTCACTCCAAAGGGTGGGGTGGGGGTGCTGCCAGCCAGTGGGCGGGGCCAGAGGCCAAAGTGGGTGGAGCAAAATTGTACCTTTGCAAAGGTATCGTGAGTCATCTAGTCCAACCCCCTGCGATACAGCAGCTGTAAACACTATTTATTGCATTTATATGCCATGGCGCAAGGCGGCGTACATGACTCCTCCTTGGCCTCCTTTAATCCCCACAACAATCTTGCGAGGTAGGTTAGGCTGCGAGGCAGTGACTGCCCCCCCAAGGTTGCCAGTGAGCTTTATCCCAGTGGGGATTCGAACTCTGCTCTCCCAGGTCCAAGTCCAGCACTCTAACCACTGCACCACTTGGCTTGTTCCGAAGCACACGCACACAACTGTCTCTCTGGCCCTGATGTCCAAGCAAGCAAGAGGCATGACTGGAGCTCAAGGCAAAAACACAGATTCCCTACGAAAACTGAACCTGCTCCTTTGTTGCCCTGTTTATTCCTATGAGCCACCCATCAGAAATAAAGGGGGCAAGGCGGGCAACCTGGGAGATGCCCCCCCCAATTATAAATCCAAGCTAGTGTATAAAGTCTTGGCAAGTATTTTAAACCACTGTATTTAGTAGAAAGGTGCTTTAAAACAACAACAACCCTGTGTCGTTTTGCAATATGTGGGCTGCAGACGCGGGTGGCGCTGTGGTCTAAACCACTGAGCCTCTTGGGCTTGCCAATCAGAAGGTTGGCAGTTCGAATCCCCACAACGGGGTGAGCTCCCGTTGCTCGGTCCCAGCTCCTAGCAGTTCGAAAGCACACCAGAGCAAGTAGATAAATAGGTGCCACTGCAGTGGGAAGGTAAACGGCGTTTCCATGCGATCTGGTTTCCGTCACGGTGTTCTGTTGCAGCAGAAGCGGTTTAGTCCTGCTGGCCACATGACCCGGAAAGCTGTCTGTGGCCAAATGCCGGCTCCCTCGGACTGAAAGCGAGATGAGCGCCGCAACCCCATAATCGCCTTTGACTGGACTTAACCGTCCAGGGGTCCTTTACCTTTACCTTTATATGGGCTGCATTCAAATTCCTGTAGACCCCCTGAAACAAATACAGTGGTACCTTGGGTTACAGACACTTCAGGTTACATACGCTTCAGGTTACAGACTCTGCTAACCCAGAAATAGTACCTCGGGTTAAGAACTTTGCTTCAGGATGAGAACAGAAATCAGGCGGCAGCGGAAGGCCCCATTAGCTAAAGTGGTACCTCAGGTTAAGAACAATTTCAGGTTAAGAACGGACCTCCAGAACGAATTAAGTTCTTAACCCGAGGTACCACTGTAGACTGCAGTTAGTCCTGTCCACTAATTTCAGCGAGTCTACCTTGTGTAGAACCAGTGTTGGGTGCAACCCTATATAGACCTCCTTGCAGTATTGTCCTGGGAATGATGATGGGCCCATTTGAAGGGCGGGTTATACAACTGGAAAAAATGAGAAATTGACAATGACTTTTTGAGAGTGTAAGGCTGCAGGGAGGAGGAGATCATTCCTATTCAGGGGAATCCTGTCTCCCGGCAGCTCCTCTGTTGAATGCAACTCATCCCCTCACCTCCCAGTGATTATCCGAGTATATTGAGAGAGAAAAAGACCTGTGCTTTTGCCCCCAAAGGAGTTCAGCTTCCTTGGTGGGAGTTTTGCTAGGAAATACTAAGGGAGGCAGGTGGCGCTGTGGGTTAAACCACAGAGCCTAGGACTTGCCGATCAGAAGGTTG